CTAAAATAGGCAGTTCATTGTAGTTAGGATGTTTGTAACATACTATGGACAGTTGGGTTAACTTGGGGGGTCACGTATCAACTAATTCAATTATCATACCATGAACAAAGGCAGAATATTGAAAAACTCATTTTGAGTAGTATAAAACAGGTAATACAAAAGGTGATCGCTACAGATAAACATAATAGAAGGTGCAGAAATAATGTTAGATGACCAGTTTTCTGGTGAAAATGTCATCTCAAACAAATTTATTTCCTTGCTTCTTAAAAGCAGTGTCACTAGCATACAATCACAATGCTGGAGAACACTGAATAAGCATGAGCTTTTAAAAAGAAAAAAAAAATCACAGGGCAGACAATGGGATGGTGAACTGTTAATTTATGAAGTAGAGTCCAACAAAGTGGGAATCACATGTGGTTCCCACCATGGGGTTATCAGTTGAGGCAGGACATTGATGGTGTTAATTATAATAATGGAATGGAAACATTTTAGTTGAGAAGGGACATTTTCATGTACTGGCTTTGGGCAGCTGCAGTCAACTTCACAAATCCCAGGATTCCTCTAAGTAACACTGCCACTTCAAGTTCAGTTGTTAAGAAACCTCAAAGTTAGTGACACGGACTTGAACTGCTGCAGATATATTTTTGTTTTTTCTGTGTTTTCAGTTTTAAATAGATTCCATGCCCAATGTGGGGCTAGAACTCACGACCCTGAGATTATGGGTCACATGCTCTACCAACTGAGCCAGCCAGGTGCCCCTACCCCCCCGCCAACAATGGATTCTTTTGAAGGAAATTTGCTGTTTCTTTGAAAAGCATGGACCAAAGCATCTTTTAGGATTTCAATTCTTGACGTATACTGTGTCATGGGTGGCAGTTCAAAGAAAAACCAAAGCTAATATTTAAATTCTGCAGACATTCAGGAAGTGTTGAATGGAAGGAAGATGGGTGGATGGATAAAGGGTCTTAAAACTTGATTCATTAAATCTGGTGAGAGAATTTCTAGTGGGAGCTAAGGCCTAATATCTAAAACGAAATATCACAAGGGTGTATTCCTGACAGTCTAAAACTAGTAGATATCTTATCAAAGCAGCTGAAATAATAATCACTTATTTATATAAACTTATATGTATAAGAAACCTTAGGCTCACAAAAATATACATGTTTTAAAACGCAAATCTAAGGCACACAAAATACTAAAACAAGTCAATGAATCACCCTATTTTACATATTCAAGAAGCAGAAATCTACTTGTACAAGATGATGGTCTACCAATGGTATTTGTTATATACAATCCCTTCATATTCCTTTAGTTGGACTAGTCAAAAGCTTGAAACTGATACTTTGCACCATATATTATTTTAATATAAGTTACAATGAGTTTTTCTTTAGAGCTTGCTGGAACTGTTTGCTTTTGCACCAAAATTGTTGAGTGTTAGCAGTTGTGGGCTTCCTATGGCATTTCCAAGGGAGAAGCACCATTATTTAGGTTTTCCACACTCCCAAGGTATCTGACACTTTGAATGTTATAGCACCTCTGCATTTTAATAGAATCAAGTATTTCACTGAAATTTCTTGCTCTAAACATTTTGTTTGGGCAATTCCTTTTGTTTTGCTATAAAATGAGCCAATAAGTAATGGGAAAAAATACGGGAGGGCTAACTTATTAAATGGAATGCCTATTTTCCTGTTACCTAGAACACAGGCAAGTATCAGAGAAGATGAGTTTTTATTTCCCTAATACTAATATACTTAGATAAACTACTTTGGATTAGCTCTTAATGGGCAATACCATACTTAGATTACCACTCCTACTGTTTGGGATGTGTGGATGTGTGACAACAACAGGGGATTTGTTTTCACAAGATTTCTATGGGAATATTATTCTTATTCTGTACCAAAACAAATAAGGCAATTTGGAATGGGTCGGGTTCTTGCTACTTAATTTTTATATTTTATCACCTTGAAACTTTAGAAGCATTTGACTCTTCTGAATCCTACAATGTCCCATCTCCTTTTGGAAAAACCTTTCATGAGTATTTTGAGAAAGCTGGGGTGAAAGTGAAATTAGAGCCACTGTTACTTGATAAATCAGAAGAGACCACGCTTACTTAGTTCCAAATAAAATGTTAATCGATATTGGTGATATGCTTCCTAATCCCAACTTTAGAGAAAATTAACGATTTTTGCATGTTCTAACTATTTTATATAAGTAGCTAATATTTGCATGAGAAAGGACATATAAAAAAAACCATATACATGATTAGAATACATATTGCAGTTAACAAGATGGAACTCTACACAGCAAGAATAAATGATTTCTCTTGTATGCAAATATGCACAAACAATAGACAATAAGATTCTTATACTATACTATTTCAAGTTACTTTTAAAAATAGAAAGTGCTTTTAAAATATATATTTACAATTTATGAACAGCCTCCAACCATTATTAACAATAATGAATTATTTTATACAGGAGAGATATTTTGAGAGAGAAAACATTTCATTGGTTTATTTCAAAGGAATATGCCGATATTCTAGCAATGATTGGAAGATGTTGGAACGATGGCACCATGAAATAATAATGCAGCTTATTTTTAACTGTTGATGTGGGTAAGCACCAGGAGCTGTGTAGAGTTAACACTGTGTCTTGATTTTACATCATAGCACATGAACCTGTTAAAATCCTCTAAAAATGACTCTTGTTTCATAGTAAACAGACTTAATTTAAAGCACCAAACTGAGTGATTCTATCAAGGTTAACGCCTAACCAAAACATTTCTTTATGTATTTAAAACTATAAAACTTTTATTTTTGCTTAAAATGTGCACCTTCTACCAATTGTCAAAATATAGTCACAGTTAAGAAATACCCACCCCATTTTTGTTTTTTTTTTTGTTTGTTTTTGTTTTTTACCTCAGCCTTCAAATGGGTGAGATGAAGATACGTAAACGACAACATGACTTTCTTTTAACAGCACCTTGAAAAAATACACTGCACTAGCAAAGGCATTAAGAAGGGGAGAAAAGCCTTCAGACCCAATGGTTATAGGGTCCTGCAACATGTGTGAGAGCATAAGGGGACACGGTGACAATATTGTCATGGGTTAATGTTAACGCTTTATGAGAAGGAATTTGGTTCAATTCATTAACTTCAGGGGACAGTTCGGGACCCTCATTAGCTGCCTGGTCTTTCTGCTCTGAGGCCTTCATTTTCTTATTCTTAGCTTCTTTAGCCTCAAACTTAATTTTGTTTAGTTCAAAACCGTGTTGGGGCTTATTCAGGTTTTTGTGCTGGTAGAAAACAAGGGAGAGGCGAGTGGGGTGATTCCGGTTCGGGTGCTCGACGGGCGTGGTGGCGTGAAGCTCCCGCCGCGCACACTCGATCAGAACCGAGCCGTGGGCAGGCGCGATCGCGACCCCACCGATGTTGGCGTCCAGGAAGATGTGCTCGCTGTCTGACCAATACTCATCGATGTGGGGCAGCTTCTCCTCCGCTGGGGACAGGGGGTCGTCGGACAGGGGGTCGTCGGACAGAGGCTCGTCGGCATCAGAATGCGGCTCGTCTTCTTCCACTAGAGAGGACGCCAGGTCATGGGGACAAGTGGTGCAGGGGGGCTGCTGGCTTGGGTGATTGGAAGGTGGCTGTTCAGACGGACCAGTGGGCGGCTCAGAATAAACCAGGGCGTCTGCCACGGGAGCGGGCAGCGTGGGCAGAGAAACCACTTCGCCAGGCTGTGCAATTCCAGTGCATTCCCCCGCAGCTGCATTAGCACCGCTGTGTCTCGCAGAAGGCACCGTGCAGTGGGGATTGCTACTTCTTTCTGAAAACCCGTAGGGGACGGACGCATCACTCTTACAAGGAGCTGTGGTGGCTGACGCCGTCTTAGGGGACCAAGAGAAACCTGGAGGTATGTTTGCCTCTTTCAATGGGTGAGGAATGGATGGGGTCAATGAGTAGGTTTTAGTGTTGTCCGAACCTTTGAAGATAAAATGGGGTTCAGTTTCACTTTTTATTTCAAGTTGCAAGGCTTCGGTTTTATTCCCTAAACAGAGAAAAGGACACCAAATGCGAAGATAAGTACAAACTACTTTTTGGGAAGTGTCTTTAAGGAGTATTTTAAAGAGAAATACAAAGGATAATGTAACAAAACATCGGTGACGGCAATGTCGGCCAGTTTTGTTCTCTTGCCTTTAAGTCAAACACACAAGCAGGCATTAAAAATTGCACGTCGTCTGGTATGCTTTTTCACCCAACAATTTTACTTCAAGAATTCTTCCCCTTGCAAATAATATAAATAAGCACAAAGATTTAGCCGAAGGATGTCCACTGTTTGAAACAGTTAAGAGATTAGAAATGACCTAGTTGGCAATGAAGTTAAATGTTAAAATCATACATTGGAACACAATGCAGGGGATAACATGATGATTTAGAGCAGTATTTCTACCCAAAGAGATATTTAGATACATTTTAGATATCTCATGATCTCACTTTCAAAAAAAGTAAAAATAAAGTAATAGTTATCGAGAAAACAGCATAACTGGCAAACTCAATTATTAGGCAAAGGGAAGTCACGTTAAGAAATTTTAGTGGAAATAAGTCATTTGTGGCCCTCAAGACCGGGTTCATGTAAGCCTTGTTTCTTTCTCACTGATTAGGAAGATCTTTATTACCACATCGGCCATTGTGGGTAATCGGTTTAGACATAACCACACAAACCTCATATCAAATGGAAACATTTTCTTGAGGACATCCTTCCTGTTTTGAGGTTCTAAAAAATTTCTGCTTGAGCAAAAGCAGCAGATTTTAGGACCAGAAATAGAAAATGTGGCCATGTTTTAAAGTAATTAACAATATAATAGCAAACACATGTAATATATTGTACCCCTGAAACTAACATAATGCAATACAACCTGGAGACAGGATAATTATTTCTCTCTCTCTTTTTAAACACGAAAAGCTTAAAAAAGTAAATAAAATTTTAAAAAAGTAAATAAAATACAACATGGAACACTTCACGAATTTGTAGGTCATCCTTGCACGGGGCCATGCTAATCTTCTCTGTGTTGTTCCACTTTCAGTATATGTGCTGCTTAAGCCAGCACCAAGATAATTCTCACTTTTATTTTATTTTACTTTTTTTTTAAAGACTTTATTCATTTATTTGATAGAGAGAGAGAGAGAGAGATCACAAGTAGGCAGAGAGGCAGGCAGGGGGGAGGGAGAAGCAGGCTCCCTGCTGAGCAGAGAGCCCTTTGTGGGTTTTCCACTCTGAGATGGAGAGTCTCATGCTCCACTGACTGAGCCGGCCAAGTGCCTCAGTTCTCTCTCTCTCTCTCTCTCTTTAGGGGGTTGGAGAGAGGAGGCAAAGGGAGAAAGAATCTTAAGTAGGCTCGAGTCCCAGTGAGGAGCCCGATGCAGAGCTCCATCTCACAACGCTGAGATCACGACCTGAGTTGAAATCAAGAGTCAGAAGCTTCACTGACTGCGCAACCCAGGCACCCTGCCAATTCTCATTTTTTAAGAGAACTGGTACATGGAACCCAAGGGGTGGCACATTAAGAAATCTGTGGTTACATCTATTACAGAGGTTGTCAACAGAACATAAATCATGGGGAGGAAAGATTATAAAAGAGTAATGAGTCTTGGAGGATTTGGGTTAGGGGAGGGAGAATAAAAAAAAGTAAGGAGTCTTTTATTGAAATGGATAAATCTATTTTAAGAAGCTCTTATGGGGGTGCCTCAGTGGTTCAGCCAGTTAAGCGCCTGCCTTTGGCTCAGGCTGTGATCCCAGGATCCCGGGATCAAGCCCCACATCGGATTCCCAGCTCAGCTGGGAACCTGCTTCTCCCTCTCCCTGCTGCCCGTGCTCTCTCTCTCTCTAAATCAATAAATAAAATCTTTAAAAAATAAGATAAGTAATACAAACATTCTTATGGGTAAGATTATAAAAGGACAAGGGGCTATAAGCCAAATATTGTACAGAGGGCTACTAACAGGATGTAAGTTACTGAAAACACAGCTTGTGAAGATGCTATTAGGGAATGACAAAAAGATGAAAATGACAGGAATGCTGTTTACAGGCAGCGTGGAACTAGGCATGGGAATCTATAAATAAACCAAACTAAGTATTTGTGAATGGAGCTAACAAGCAAAAAGGAATGCTAATTCTCTCTGCCTTCCCTCGTCACAATCTATTTATTGAATCTTTCCTAGCATTATATAAATGTCTGCACCATCATTTCTCTCATCTTACAAAACGCAAAATAAGCCAATTCTCCTTGCAGCAGCAGCAGCAACAACAACAATAAAAATTAAGGTTAAGGAATACCCTGTAACTCTAATGTGAAGTTTCAGTATAAATTCAAGGTGTATTTTTTTCTTTAGACTCCCCGAAGAGATGGCTGAATTTATATACTGGGCAGGATTATATAAGATGAGCCTAGAACATCTTGTCGGAACAGAAGCTAAGGAAGCCCTCAAAAACAATTGGGGTCATGACAAAAAGTTCAGAAGCCAGCATGATGGGTTTCTACTGATCAAAGATGGGACAATTTAAGGATATTTGGTTTCAATTTGAGGATTTTTTTTTTAGGGTTTATTTGTTTGTTTTTCCAAGATTTTATTTATTAATTTGGCAGAGAGAGAGAGAGAAAGAGAGAGAGGGAACACAAGCAGTGGATGCGGGAGAGGGGGAGGGAGAAGCAGGCTTCTCACTTAGCAGGGAGCCAGATGTGGGGCTCAATCCCAGGACCCTGGGATCATGACCTGACCGAAGGCAGACACTTAACAACTGAGCGCCCAGGCATGCCTCAATTTGAGGACTTTAAAAAGCATTTTCATATTTAATTGGAGGGAAAATAACCCTATATAATGTGCACTGAAATATAAATTATAAATAATAATGAACTAGAAATACTGCCAATAAAATAACAAAAATATAAAAAACATGAGATCAAAATGATACTAAATGAAAAAGAAATTGAACACACTGGAAGATGCCTAGAAATTAACTTGTATTCTGAAAAGTGGAGAGTAAAGTCAAATTGCCAAGCACTTATTCTAATTTCTCTATATGACCCATACCTCAGAGTTAATAAGTTCTTGGTAAGGACAGTATTTCTTTTTAAAAGATCGCCTAACAAATGGATAAAGAACGGTAGACTGTGTTACTCCTGATGGAATAAAGAATATAAAACATTATAGTAAGTGTTTCTAAAACCATCAGGTAAAAAGCTCCTAGGGAACATTATAATCAGTGAATCATGGTGACAACACCTGTACCATAGATCGGCCTTAACATCACAAAAAGAGATACCATCAGATACTGTGTTTCCTGATGTAAAAAAACGAGAGTATAGAAATGAGCCAGTGTCCATGCCACAGCAATTGTTTTTTGTTTTCTGGTTGGTTGTTTTTGCTTTGGTGAGCTCTACATCCAACATGGGGTTCCACTCGCCATCTCGCCCAAGATCAAGTCATACGCTCTACCTACTGAGCCAGCCAGGTGTCCCCATAGTTAAGTGTTTGTTCGTTTGTTTATTTGTTTATTTAAAGGAATGCTTCACGAATTTGCGTGTCATCCTTGCACAGGGGCCATGTTAATCTTCTCTGTATCGTTCCAATTTTAGTATATGTGCTGCCGAAGCAAGCCCATAGTTAAGTGTTTTTAAAACTGAAGCTGAATTTGTCTCTACAGGATAATGGTTTCTGATAAATGTAAAAAAGAAAAAAGAACGAAAAATAGGAAAAGCAAGCTTTAAATGAAAAAAGGTATAGGAGACATAACAACTAACTGTAATGTGTGACCTTGTTTGGATACTGATTTAAACATACCAAATGTCAAAAAAGAAAAATCATTTAGGAGACAGATGGAGCAGTGTGAGCACTGATTGGTATTAAGGCATTATTTGATTTATTTGTTTTAGGTATTGTGGTTCTTAACATTCCTTATCTTTTAGTGACACATACTGATGAGGTAATTGATAATATGATGTGACTTCTGCAATTTGTTTAAAGATTTTTTTCCCTTAATTTATCTGTCAAAGAGAGCACAAGCAGGCAGAGTGGCAGACAGAGGCAGAGAGAAGCAGGCTCCCCACTGAGCAAGGATCATGACCCGAGCCAAAGGCAGCTGCTTAACCAACTGAGCCACCAGGTGTCCCGACTTCTGCAATTTGTTATCAAAAATTTCGAAGGGGTGGCGCCTGGATAATGATATAGATGAAATAAGAATTATTCTGTATTAAAAATGTTGGGGCGCCTGGGTGGCTCAGTGGGTTGAGCCTCTGCCTTCAGCTCAGGTCATGATCTTGGGGTCCTGGGATCGAGCTATGCATGAGGCAGGGAGCCTGCCTCCCCCCTCTCACTCTGCCTGCCTCTCTGCCTACTTGTGATCTCTGTCTAATAAATAAATAAAATCTTAAAAAAAAAAAAAAAAAGAAACTGACATGTCCAAAAGTGAGCTTCTGATTTCCCTCTGTATCTTTCCAAATCTATCCCTTTCTCCCCTTTTCTCATAACCTTCGGTGATTTCCCCATCTTTCCAAGTCCTTCAGACCAACATCAGGATAAACACGCACACTTCTTTTTTGTCTACATTCCAGATTTATGAGACATCTTGTTGAATCTACCTTGAAAACATCCAGGACCAGACATTTCTCACATTCTTCTCATTAGCCAATCTGGTCCAAGCTCCATCACCTCTCTCCTGAGCTGTTAGAATGGCCGCTATACCATCACCCTACTGTTTGTTCTCTGCCTACTGTTTTCTGGTTTCAACCCAGTAAGCAGAATGTTAGGTTTCAGTCAGGTTATAGTCCTTCTCTGTTCTTTCTTTCTTTTTTTTTTTTTTTTTAATTTCATTTTTATGTAATCTCTATACCCAATGTGGGATTGAACTGAAAACCCTGAGATCAAGAATCACACTCTCCATCAAATGAACCAGCCAGGTGCCCCAGCCTTTCTAGATTCTGAAATAGCCAATAACGTTCCTTTCCCTCAACAGCAGTCAATGAAGCCTGAGATGAGCCGCTCAGACACTCTCTTCCCCCTCTGATCTACTTCCTGCTCTTCCCATTTCCTGCTCCGTGTCAGCCACACTGGCCTCCTTGCTTGCCTCAAGTGTTCCAGGCAAATTCTTCCCTCCTGACCTTTACATTGGCCATTTACTCTGCCTGGAATGCTATTTCTCCAAATAAAATTCACTCATGATGTTCATTGCTTTGAGGCCTTGACTCTAATTCCTCATTCTCAGCAAATGACTCTCTAACAACCATATTCAACTGGTTTGCTTGCACAGCACTCCCTTTAAATCTTTCACCGATACATTCCCAACACCCCCAACCACATAAAGGGGTGCTCGGTAATACCTGCTGACTGCCTTACTTAAATTGATGTTAACCTTGACTGAGGAAGTCTTCAAGGAAGCGATCACATATGCCAAGAAGGAGGAGTACAGCTTCCAAACAGATGGGGAACACAAACAAAACAAAACAAACACCATAACTAGAAAAAATACCAGGAAATACGGAGGGGCCACTTTCTTCTTGACTCTGAGTTTTGGCCAGTACAGAGAAATTGCGTATGTGAAAGTAGTCAGTATCTTATTTTAAACTCTAAACCAACCTGTATTAAAAATCAAGGAGATTTAAGAATAACTACCTAACTGAATTCATATCTGATCTCAGGTTGGGTTCTTTTTTTCTTTCTTTCTTTTTTCCCCAGAATGCCTCATGCCTAGGAGAGCGGCAAAGATAAGAGAGGAAATAAAGTGCAAAGGCAAGTCCCAACCCTCAAGCCAATGGGAGTTGTGCACAGAAACTCAGGAGCGTCCACAGGCCTCACCTAAAAGCGGCAGCGATGAAGCCTTGCTACTGTTTGTTGTCCCATGATTCTTGCGCTTGATCCGAGGAATGAATTTCTTCTCCACAGCTCTTATCTTATGTGCGAGAACTTCTGTCATCATTGCTGCCCTCTTCTTCCCAGAACGAGGAACTGGCTGGGTAAAACGTGTTCTTTTTTTACGGCGGGGAGCGAGCACCTCAATGGCCCCAGACTGGATCTTGGCTTCCATTCCTTCGCTAGATCCAAACTCATCTGTGTCCGAGAGTTTGTAGAGCGGTAGAACGTGGAGTTGCTCATCCTGAGGGATAACCCCCAAGGAGCGGTTATCTTCTCTTGTTAAAGTACAAACCTGACAGAAAGAAAACATGAAATAGGTCCTGCACCTTCATCACAGTCATTTCTACCTTCTAACTGTTGCCATTGTCAAAAGGGTCTGTATTCCCATTCTGTTTTCCAGTGGGTTACTGCTGGTATAGTGATTTTGGATAAAGAATACATATTAAGTCACTCAACACGCTTCAATTCTAGGAATTTATCAACTGTTTTTAAGACGACCAGTATAATTTTGAGTTGATCTTATAAGTCAATGGTATTATATACATTTATGTATTTTATAGTACTTTGTAAGTAAACTCTAGCCCCAGTGTGGGGCTCAAACTCGCAACACCAAGGTCAAGTCACATGCTGTTCCAACTGGCCAGTCATGCAGCCCCAAACTCCTATATTTTAAACATTAGGCCTTTTGTTACATTCCATTTTACTTCATTGCCTAAGTTAGGAAATATCTACTGGACTGTCCATAGCATTCATTTAAAATATTAAGTATTAAGAAGACATTATTTTAGCCTATGTATTTCCCTATTTCTTAAATAATGTCTCATTCTTTGTGTAGAGGGGGTTTAATTATGCAGAATTTTCTAATTTGCTGTTTTCTTTTAGGATTTCTTCACTTCTGCTTATAAGTGGAATTTATCTATAGATATATAGATTTTTTTTTTTCTGCATTTCCCCCCATGTCAGGGTGATTCTTCTCTTCACTAAATGAATGGAAGAGATATTAATGAAGTAAAAGGAGCACAAGAGATTTCTCTCCCCAGCAGGACTTATATTCTAATAGCTTTATTTTTAAATTTGATTTTTTATTATTTTTTAAAAATTACTAATTTTTAAAAAATTGAATAGTTTTAAAAAAACTGAACATTTCATTTTGATAAATTTTCTCTTTCTGCTTCATGTTGCTTCTATTCTGGCTAGGGACGTACCAGTTAAGTTACCCACCTTTCTTTTGCATGTGAATAAGACAAGACATCTGAAGAAAATTCTGTCTTGAAATATAACCTATCTCAGTCCTCCTGACTTTAAAAGTTATTTTTATTCATTGTAGAGAATTAAACTACAGAACTACATACAGAAAATTCCTGACCTAATATTCACATTTTTCTTCATAGATTAGTATCTTAGTGGTAATTAATTTTCAAGGGTCATTAAAGAGCCAACAAAAATATATCCAATGGTTTCATTATTTTTATTAAAAACATTTCTCCTAGAGCTAAGGGCTCTTTCTAAGATGCTAGAAGAAATAAAACTGCCTGATTGTAAGGTCGATAGACTTGATGAATACAGACAGGAAAGTAAGATAAAGTTTTAAAAATCACAATATTTTCTCAATATTTATAATCACATTTACCAGCAAGACTTGAAATACTGAATTATCCTGGGTATTATCAGTAATTTTAAAGTAACTGTGTTAAAAAGTAGACTCTTCCACCAATAAATGTTTATTTTACTCAGTTTATTTGTTCGCAGGGGGACTAAGAAGGTGACAAGGAGTAGATATGAGGAGCATAATTAGAAGGATGGAGGCAGCAGGCAGGGTGAAAAGGGAACTGCAGCCACATTTGAAGAACTCAGGGTTTCAGAGATGGGGAAATTTGGAGTTCTGTCAGGTTCTGGGAACGAGCCTCCTGGCATGAACGAGAGCAGTGGAGAAGAGGCAGCAGAGTAATGCACAAGGAGGAGCACGAGAGAAGTGGAACAAAAATTTAGTTTGATCCTGAACCTAATTTAGCCCGAGCACAGATAGTCTTTAAGGAAGCAAATCAGGTAAAATGTACTAGCCAAGCAATGACAATGACCACGCTCTGGCGAAGATTCACCCAGAGAGATTATAATATTTCAGCATCTGAAAATAACACTGATGGGTCAAACACTACAGTCAACAAGAGTGGAGAAGAAAGATTAAGAAAAACGAAAAAAAGTCGGGGGGGCTCTTTAATCTATCACTCCTAGACTTTATTGGCCAGACAACAAAGGAAGGCTACCTTTAGATGGATTAAATGGATTACTTTCTCGGGAGCCTGTGGCTATCTTCCTTGTATGGAGCCAACCAAACAGACTGGTGTAGTGCAAAAACAGAGTGGTATGTTTTACCAGGGGAGAAGAAAATTACTGGAAGCAAATCCATTACACTTACAAAAGGACTATTGCATGATTCTCCCCACGGTCTTTTAACTAACTGAAACATCTCCTGATTGACTTCATGCTATGGACATGTAATTCTTTTCATGTCTGTAAGCCTAACTCTGCACAGCTCAATGCAAGTATTTCTGACAATGCTGGCATATTAACGTAACTTCACACATATATACCGGCACTAAGAACAAACACACACAAAAAAGATGATATATTTGGCATAGTTCCTTCACAACAACCCTGAAGTGCACAGAAGGCAAAAAACAAAAACAAAAAACGCTAAGTTGCTTAACTTCCTACCTACCAGTTTGATGGCACAGAATTGTACTCCTACTTC